ATTCAGTATTGCTTCTTTCTTTCAATCGGTATCTTCAATCGGTTCTTTGGAAAGGATTTGCCCGTCTCTAAGGGGATTTGAAAGTTGGGATGCTCAGGTCACCTGTCTAAAACGTGCATCTCCCTATTTCATGGATCAGCACTGCACAGCAGGGGTATGAACCGTTTTCCTAGTCTCTTAGTGGTGGGTGACCCTCGGCCCATCTGCTTGCATGTGGCCCAGCAGGATTCTAGGTGTGGCCTGCATGACATTTTGTTAACTGCTGCCCATATGCAGGGTTGCAGATTCTCTTCCATCTGCATAGTTTATTTTCCTGCTTATACTACTAAAATGACACGCATGTAAAGCCAGGGCAGTGAAGAGAGGTGTGGACTGATTGCATGCAGCACTGACTGTGAAAGCCGTGCGCTCCCTCTGTAGCCAATCAAAGTGCTTCTACAGTTCAGTCACCGCAGCCCACAAATTCTAGGTCCACAAGTGAAGTTAGCAAAATTCCCCTGTCCTGAGAGACAGTCTTGGTTAGGAAAATGTTGCAGCCCACTGAGATGGAGGGCCACTCATGCCTAGGTTGGCCCATTGCTGACCTTAGGCTACTTTCTAGAGTTTAACTAGGCTCCTCGTCTGCATTAACTATATAGCTTCCTTACAGTCTCCTAGTCAGTGCTAAATATTTTTGTATTATGCCTGCTGATACAAAAACCCAAGGGAAACTTCAGCACTTTTGAACTTTATTGGGATTGGAGACATTGCTTACTACAGAAAGGCTCGGAGAAAGGCAACAAAAATGAGCCAAAATATGGAACGACTTTCCTATGTAGAGGGAGGTTAGGGCTGTTCAGCTTAGAAAAGAGATGACTAAGGAGGAGGGATGTGACTGAGGTCTACAAAATTGTGAGTGGTGTGGAGAAAGTGAATAGAAAAGTGTTATTTACTCTTTGGGTGTGTCTAGACTACTGAGTTTTGTCGACAAAAGTGAACTTTTGTCGACAAAACTATACCTGCGTCTACGCTACCGATGAGTTCTGTCGACATAACGTCGACAGAACTCAGCAGTTTTGTCGATGCTGGTAAACCTCATTTTACGAGGCATAACACCTTCTGTCGACAGAGTTCTGTCGACAGAAGGTGTTATTGCCTGTAGGGTTGCGTCTAGACTACAGGGTTTTGTTGACAAAGCAAGCTGCTTTGTCGACAGAACTGAATGTGTCTAGAGGCTCTATGTCGACAGAAGTTTTGTCAATAATATCTGTCGACAAAACTTTCTTCGACAAAACCCTGTAGTCTAGACGTACCCTTTCACACAATACAGAAATCCGGTGTCACCCGATGAAATAAATAGGCAGCCAGTTTCATACACATAAGAGGAAGTGGGGATGGGGGGGGGAGTTGTCACACAGCCCGGGGAACCCATTGCTGTTGTAATGGCTGAAAATAAACGTGGTTTAAAAAAGCACTAGATAAAATCATAGAGAATAGATCGACCAGTAGCTTAGCCAAGATAGTCAGGAATTCCGTCACATGCTTGGGCAACCATAAATCTCTGACCCCAGAAGACAAAGGTGGATCACTCCACCTGCCTTTTTCTGTACACACCTCTAAAACTCTGGTACTGGCCACTGTCAGAGACAGGATTTTGGGTTAGACCATTGGTCTGACCTAGTAAGGCAGTTCTTACATTATTTTACATTTTTTTTAACATTGCATATGTTTCATGTTGCGTAAAGGAGAATTGTATTCCTTTTTCTTGAGGCTAGCA